GTGCAAAATTTTGAATCCTTTGCAAATCAAGCTATAATGATAAAAAGTAAGTATCACTATTTTCAATAAGTATATTACAATATTTCTATATGAATGTATATCCTTCTATAAGAATACATGTATATAGTTGCAAAATCAATAGCAATCATTTACAACATTCATTTATAAAGGCGATTATGTGAAAATAATATAAATATTGTCCGCTTCATGCCATAAATTAAAGAAAACAGTAGGTTTTTGACGGTTTTTACCGGTAAAAACACGGTTCTTACCACTGTCATGGCAAAAACCCAACCCTGAACGGTAAATAACTACAAAGTAAATTTTGCAATTTGACTATTTTTGCTTGCATTTTAAAAGGTATAGCATTACATAAATACTATAAAGTGGTGAATTATATAAGCCTACGAATTATTTAGAAATAGTGGTGGGTAAAAATGTACTAAATTGAATTTAATCACTATAACTACCAGTTTAAAATATATATTTGCTTTCCAGAGCAAGTTGGCATCTCTGTCAATATGTGTATTTGAAATTGTGTTTGTGTTTTTTTATTTTTTAACTGTCAAGAGATAAAGTCTTTTTCAAACTTTATTAATTGATAAATAAGTTATTTACAATAGAAACTGATAAAAAATCAAAGTTCGTAATAACAATAAAAATTTAAAATATCTGCCTTTATCTAAAAAAAAAAAAAACTTACTATTATTCTTTATTTCAATCACTTTAAAACTTACATCATTTGGTTTGTATTTAAAATGATAAACTGTATTTTAAGAAACAGTTTAATTGTGTATATCTGAATTGCAGCATGCATATTTTATCTGTTTTTCTGAAATATGTTAATCAGTTTCTTAAAAAAAACTTATTGTACATCTTTATGGGTACATACATTCTAAATTTTTAAAAAATATGTTCAGACTCATCATTGCCAGGCTAAAATATTAATTTGAGTTTGAATGAGCTAACTTTTAATAATCAGACAATATAGTTAAAAAAAAATCAGTTTCAATTTTATAGTGCATTGTAATTTTTTCCTGCAAAATTTCTCAAAACATTGTTAATTCATATATGTTGAAAAATATTTTTTGTAAATAAAATTCTTAAACATAGCAGAGTGTATTTCTGTGATTAAAAAACAAACAAGTTCCATTTTATACAAATAATTTTATTGCATGTACTGCACTGCAATACGATTTTATATTTTTATAGAAATATGAAAAAACTGTGAGTCACAAAAGATTTGTAATCAATTATAAGAACATATTTTCAACAGATCGATGAAATTGCTGATGTTATCGTTGCATGACATATTGTAATGAAAGTTTAATTAGACAACCTTTATTCACTTTAAAGTAGAAATTAACCAATGCAAAAGTCAGGACTATCACAAATCAATTATCTTATTGGCACTGTATTTGAGTTATTTACATTTATGAAAAAGCACTATTAAGCAAAATAATTTTACAGCAAAGTTTCTGCTATAATGTGCGCAAACAATGGATTGCACTTCAAAAAATTGTTATGCATTTAAATATGATTATCATGCACAGATAACAAAAATGTGCAACAAGTCTCTCAGATTAATATCAACAAGGGATACTCTTAGTAAAAGCAAGTCTAACAGATTCAATCCTTTGGATATTATAAATCACAATAAATTCATTCAAAAAAAAGTGCAAAATAAAAGGGAAAAAAATTATCAATTAACACATTCATTTCATATTGCAATGTTATTTCATTATTTAAACATTCTAAAATTTGAAGTAATATTTTAGCGATATTTCTTTCCTACATTTTACAGAACAATTACATGCATTAGATAATAATTTTTAACTTTAATGTAAAAAAAAAAATAAGGCATTTTGCAGGAGGCTTAGTAAACAATAGATTCACAGTAAAAGATGCACATTAACAATGCTAAAAGCCATATGTTTTAAGTAATTTAAGCAATTTGACCGTTACTGTGCTGATTGATTATAAAGGACTCAATTTAAACATGGATAAATCCTACAGATGAATAAATTTTTTAAACTTCTATAATTTATAAATTAAATATTTAACATACTAAAATAATAAATATTAATACTTAGAATATACATATAAGATAAAATCAAACAAGATATCAAAATAAAGCTACTCATTTAATGAGATGCACCAAAGCTAATGTAACTTTCCAAATATAACACTCTATATGATAAATAAAAATTTTCAAAGAAACATTTTTATCGTGGTAATTAACAGGATTGTTTTTTTCAGTAGTCCAGAAATCTTAACAGAAAAGCAGTTTTGTTAGTTTTAACAAATTGAAAACAGTTAAAACTGAAATAAGGTAAAAGTTTTTTTAATATATATATTCGAAGAGAAAAATTCTCAAAGTTTTTAAGAATTGTCAACAAGCTTTATAATGTTCAAAACTTTTCTATTTTAAGTCTCATTATTTGGTGATTCAATAAGAGTCTCTAAATAAAACAAAATTAATTTATTGAGCTATATATATTGAGCCAGCCAACGAAATCCTTCACCATAACCTTGTCTTTTTAGAACACTGCACATAAAAAGTTCTATAGGCCTTCCAGGAATTTCTGATCTAGCTATTTTCCCCTAAAATAAACAAAGATTAAGTTATATGAATTATTATATTAAGTTTATGTAAAAACTTTGATAAGTTACTACTTTTAAGATTCTTCTTAATAAGTTACTACTTCTACTACAACAAAATAAATAAAAACATAAAAAGTCTAACGGATCATGAAATATGAAAAAAAATGGATAAATATGACAACCAAAGCTGACGTCTTCAGGGGGTATCAGCTCCGGAAGTCATAAAAGCAAAACCTTTTCTATCAATGTAATCTGTGGATTGTTGTTTCAAGTAAGCTTTAGTACGTACTATTCTTATGTATTTGTCTTGTTTTAATTGTATCTTGCATTATGTTTTATATTCTTTTTCTGGACTTTGGCAAAACCTTTGGAGTATAGATAGAGAGCAATTTTAGACTTTTTGTCGTGCTTTCTCGATAGAAAAGGTTTTGCTTTTATGACTTCCAGACCTGGTACCCCCTGAAGACGTCAGCTTTGGTTGTCATAATTATCCATTTTTTCATATTTCATTGTGTATTTCAATTCCTTTCGGATTCACTGCTACTTTGCGTGTTTTTCCATAGGAAGTATTATTTTTAATTGCTTTTAAAATTTCGAATTCTTTTCTTAATTTAATGGACCATATAAGAATTCCTGATTTTGCTATTAATTCCCTAAAATAATGCGAAAAATTGAATTTCAAACTTCCGTATTCATAAATCTAAATTAGATGTGCTCAGCTAGCTGCCCTTGAATATTCAACGTGTAGCTCCCTGTTTTCATTCTGGAAATTAATGAAAAACTGCACAATTAGAATTTTAAAAAATCATAACCATTTTTAAAGCTAATCTCAGTAATTTTTAGAAAACATTAAAATTAAAAAATAAAAATGTATATTTAACGGGACAAAAGATTTGTATTCTTTGAAGTCTTAACCTTAAGAAGGTCTGTTAAGGGACCTGAATTCTCCTAAAATAATCATTGATGTAAAATGTTTAATCTGAAATTAAACATAAGCTTTGCAAATAATTTGCTGTACACATTCTCTTTTAAGGCAAACTGACATTCTTTTTAATACACTATAAGAAGAGAGTAAAACCTGTGGTATTGGGAACAATGCACCACCTCGGAAATGTTTAATAATGAAATCACAGAACTGATTTGATTAAATATTTAGTATAATATATTAAGCAGATAGTTTTAAATTATAAATACACACATACACTGGGTTTAAAATTAATGAAAGAAATTTTAAGAAGCTATGCAATGTTATATATTCATGGATTGTGGATGAACTTATTAGGAATTTGAAGTACACATGTTTATATTTTTCAATAATTAAATTCTTTTTTTTTTATGTATACTAAAGATATCAACTTTTAGCTGAATAAAATCTACAAGTGCTTCTTTTTTTATTTTATGAAGAATTTCAATTAAAGAAAAAAAATATTAAATATACTATTAAAATCTAACGAAAGCTGTAGACATAAAAGCTTTAGATTAGGTTTCTCTAGAAAAAAAATCTAATTTAAAAAATACAGTAAACAAATAACTAAGGAAGGGCATTACTTTTTATAAAGCTATTCATTCAAAGTAAAAAAGAATTGCTCATACCTTTCCAGTTGTCTGTCCATGTAAACAAAAGTAGGCTCGAATTTCATCTTCACTGGCAGCCCCTGCTCTATCAATTTTATTACCCAAAATTAAAACAGGGCAACTTGATAGCTGCTCATCAGATACAAGACTCTGCAAGATAAAAAAATATTTAGGTATTTTAATTACAACTTTTATGTTTTGTTTAACGCTTTTTGATTATAACTTTAGTAACTTTCAATTCTCCACCACAACAAAAATTTTAAAAAAAATTCCAGATTATAAAAAAAAAAACTGCTAAAAATAATCCTTTCATTTTAGATTTAAGTAATGCATAGCTGACACCATTTTAAAACATAAAAATAGCAAGACTTTTACTTTAATAAACCATATAACAAAAAATAACTACATAATATTTTCCCCACAAAATAAAAATTTTCCAAAACATATCCTTTTGTAAAAATTTTTAAAAAAATTCAACTTTACAATTCAATTACTCCACAACTAACAGAAATTTAAGCATTCAAACGCAATGTTCATCTTCACACATCAGAAAATATGGCAGAAAAAGTTTATAATTCCGCAAATAATTTAATCCAAAATTAAGTGGATTTTTTTTTTAAAAAAAAACTTTCAACTTAGATAAAAAATAACTAAAAACTAATGTTCTCTTATTTAAATTAAAATAGAAGCTATGCATATTCCTCGCTATCACTTGCTAACCCTGAGTATTAATAGCACAATTTTTCACTTCCCTTGCTTATTCTACCTTTCCTAATTTTAAAATGACATAGGTATGAATAAAAACGCAAAATAAAATTAGAACTACACATATTTAAACATTGAAAATGGAAATTCTAATAGAAAAAGTTTGTGATCTCTTCTTTAATAATTTTTACTTTTAATTTTTCCAGAACATTAAAACTGTTTAAATTATTAAATGCAATAAAATAGACATTCAAACCATAAAATTTTGTAAGTTCAATTTACGCTGATTTCTTACCCAGCGATAAATATGTTTAAATTATCAAATTCAACCTGAAAGAAAGCAAAATTAAAACAACATATGTGTGTTTAAAGATTTGAATTAAAAAATAATTCCTTGTAAATGAATAAGAACTTTAACAAAACTGAATGATACTATAGAAAAGAGCAATCTTGCATCACACACCGTCATTTGGATGAAAGGGAAAAGTTAAAGATACACCTAAATAGAAGAAAGCAAGGGAGAATTTTAATAATCTCTTATTATTAGTCTATATAAAAATTATTTTTTAAGAAGGCAAAATGTTTGCATACATTTAATTTTGAAAAAACTTACTTCTTGATGAAAGATAATTTTTAGATTTAATGGGAAACAATCCTTAGCATTATTAATCCTTTAAGAAGCTCCTTCAAAGAAATTTGATGCCATTTAGCAAACCAACCAAGAAAGTTTCTCTTTTATCATGCACTGTTATGTAAGTAAAGACCTTTACAAACCAATACCCTACAGAAGTCCCTAATATAAAATTATGAGATAAGAAAAATTGCGTAGATTTTCCTGATACTGTTAGTAAAATAAATACTTGAAGCTTCACCCAGTCTCTTGCTTTGGAACAAATCCGATGTTCACAATAAATTGTAGATTAAAATATTGTACTGAATCCTCTTACTCAAATTTGACTGCTTTTAACACCAGATCTTATGATTCAATAAACTAGAATTTTGTGTATCAAAAAGTAGGAGACTGAGCTAAAAATAGAAGTGAAAATCATACTGTATTTCTAGAAAGAGAAAAGGGAAAGAGGAACATTCTACAGAGGAATTAAAAGATCACATGATCTTTGGTTGTTAAAAGCAGTCAAATTATAAAAAAAGAATTCAATACAACCTCTTTAACTACAATTCTGTACAATAAAGATAATTGAGATTGGCTCTGAAGTGGGGTTCAGAGAACATACACAGCTTCAAATATTTTACAAACTGTAACAGGAAAAGACACATTACTTTTCTTGTCTTAGTATTACATTAGGGACTTCTTTAGGTATATTGATAGATCTACCAAATCATGCCAGATCTCTTCTTAAATAATCAACATTTATAGACATTACTGCTCATTAACCAGAAATTTGTTTCAGAATCCTGGAATTTGCTGAATAGAACATTGGGTGGGGAGAATGGAAAATATTGGAAAAGGATTTTAAGCCTGATATAAAATTAAGTTTTTCACTTTTCCTAGTTGATGGCTTAGTGGTTGATAATCCATGAGCAAGTTTAAGGGAAAAGGGAAGATCGTTCCTGTAAAAAATAATCTAGGTGCCAAATCAGGATTGTGAAACAAAAATGTTTGAGAAAATTAAGCATGGAAACTAAGGTTGAAATATGGATATTTATAGATATAAATTAGGCCTCAAAAGTGATGACTGGGAGTAATATTATAATCAAATCAAAATTTTGAATACATAATATGCATTACGACCAATAATTTTTTTTTATATATATATGATGCAGAAATGGAAAATTTTCTATTGTATGAAAAATAAAAAATTGTAAATTTGAAAGGATTCTTGTTATTTTGATGATCTAATGTTCCTTAATTGAAGAAAATACTTCAATTTGCTTAGTTGAAATTAAAAATAAATACTTCTGGATTGTAATCTGTCTTTCTATTCTGATTATATTATTTGTTTCCATATTGTGCAAGGTGTTTTGGTTTAACGATATATATATATATTATATATATGGGTCGCATTCATTTCATCGACAATCACTTCATCGACAGGCCATTTCANAGATCCTATTTTTAGGACTAATTTTTTAACAGCTATGGTAAGAATGATTTGAAAGAGTACAATTTTGCTTCAAAAAAGCTTTTAAAAGTTTGGAAATCAAATAATTTAATGCTTAAGAGTAAAATTTAAATTTTTAATTCAATGGTATGGAGTATACTGTTGTATGGGTCAGAAACATGGAAACTAACAATACTTCTGAGTACAAAATTAAATAGTTGGCATAATAGATGTTTGAGAAATATTCTAAAACTATCCTAGCCTCAGACCATATCAAAGTCAGAACTCTACAGTAAAATCAGGCAAGAACAAATCACTATCAGCATAAGAAGAAAAAAGATAGCAATGGATAGGTCACGCATTGAGAATACCTCCTACAAGAATATCATCAGTAGCCTTAACGAGGGCACCATAAGGCAAACGAAAAAAGGGGCAGACCAAAAGGGGATGGACAAGCTCGTCCCAGGCAAACTTTAAGAGGCCTTTACCCTCGGCCTCACTATCTTATATTTTAGGTTAGATTTGTGATTTCTTGATTTTTCTTATACATAACAAACTTTTGATGATATAATACACTGCTCAAAACACTTAAAGGATATTGAGGTTGTGGGTTAATCTTGCACTTAGAGAAATGTTATGAGCATTCATACATTATCGACAGACTTAGTAGGCTATATGAGATAAAAATGACATTTGTTTGGCAGGAAAAAAATGCATTTATTGAGACCGCAAAAGGAAGAAAAAAAAAGCACAATTTGTGTCTAGGTGAAAAACAAATATAAAAAAGGTATTTCCTAAAAAGAAAATCGTTTTTAGCAGGGGGTATAATTTCCCTGGGCGGCCAGCAACATTGAACACTTTTGAGGCTGTCCCACTTCTCCAGAAGAGCTCTTTCCAGTTCTTGGAGAGTTTGTGGGGGTGGTAAACATCCAGCTCTCTAGAATGTCCCAAACATGCTTGATTGGGTTCATGTCTGGAGGACACACTGGACAATTCATTTGTATGATCCCTTCCTTCAAAAAGAAATCATGCACCAAGTTAGCACGATTTAGTCTGCAATTGTCGTCCATTGACATAAAGACATTTCCAAGTGAAGTAGAGTAAGGGACTACAATAGGACTACATGGATCAATGGAGATGCCAGCATCGACCATCACACCCCAACCTCCAAATCGTACAGCTTTGGGCGCAAACGCAGGATTGTTTCTAGTGCCATGTTCCCAACAGACGAAAACACACCTATTCCAATTATCAGGATGAACTGAAAAACAATACTCGTCAGAGGAAAGAATATTGTGCCATTCATTTCTCCTCCAGTACACATGCTTTGTTGTCCACTCCCTATGGGCATGACTATGCTTTGCTGTTAACGTGACACACACCATTGGTTGGCGAGCATACAGACTTACAGCCTGAAGGTGATTTCGGGCAATTTGCGTCGAAACTATGGTGCCTCTAGCTGAGAGAAGGTGTTGTTGAAGAGTGGCATTCATACTTCGGTGTCTCAGAGCTGTTAACATTAAATGGTTTACATTAGGCGTTGTTGCACATTTACGCCCTTGATCTGATGTTTGGCCTGCATTTCCAATCTCCAAAAAACGGTGCCAGATCCTGGAAATCACATGTTGTGAAACCCAAATGTCTTCTGCCATTTTGGCTAGTGTTAGGCCCCTTCTAACTGGCCAACAACTCTCCAAGTTTCTGATTTGGTTAAATGACATAGTAGAGACATCACATTCATCGGAACAATGCACTGCCCCAAAAGCGTCGATATAGCATCAGATTTGCGAAAATGAAGCAAAGAATAAAAACATAATGAGAATTTTCAAGCCCTGTCTCCACCACTTCGACAGTTGAGTTTAGTTGAAGATGAAGGGCCTTTTAATTTCCAAATGACTGCAGACATAGAGATTCAATGTCAAGTATTAGCTTAGTAACCCCACAAATAAACAAAATGAGAGGTGTACAAACATACACAGTATAATTCATTAAATATAATGTGCAACAATGTTTTGTTTTAGGCAAATGCATTCCTAAAACTTCTGTGTCTACAAGTATAACTATGCTTAACTATGACACTTCTAAATGAAGCAATGATGGACATTACTATTTCCATAACTACAAGTCTAAGAATCATAATGTTGTATTTCTCAGCAGTTATATTCCTAGAGTTCTATGTAGAGCATTTATCAATCAGTGACACTTAGGTACTACTTGTGTCCATATAAGCCTATACATACATTTAGAGAAATTAATTTGTCCATAGTCAATAAGTGAAATAAGATGAACCATGAACCTCACAGAACAAGAAAAGTGAAACATCAAGAGGCTCATCCATACAAATATATATCCAGTACTTGTGTATAAATATATAAGTATTTATTGGTTATAGTGATCATGAAGCCTAGTTTGTCATGGATATATTTGTATACAGTGCGAAAAAAATAAAATAAACATCCTTCATTCTTCTAAGAGGTGTTGATAAGTTAGAAACAGTTGTCAGTGTGATATAAAATAATAGTAAATTGTAGCAATTCCCAAAAACTACTTTCAACGCTCGTCTAGTAACAAAACAAGGTGCAAATGCTACTAATCTCCGTGGGTTTGTCAATGAACAAAATGAGAATACCTCTGTAGCGGAACTTTCATTAGAATTATATCTGATGCTTAAAAGCAGCAAATATTTTCCATAAAGGATGCTAAATCCTCAAATTTGAATGTACAGTGCAAAAAAAAAAACATACGAACCACAATGAATAACTTTTGATTTAATGAACGGATTTTCATGGACTAGGACTCAATTGTAATGATTCGAGGGGGTGACTTTAAATATGCTAATCAGTTAATGCAGACGATATCTTATGTTACAAAACCAGACACAAACATGAACTTTCTCTGAATAAACATACTTTTTTTTGACGAAGTATGATTTCAGACCAACAAAATATAGGGGGTAGCAGTAATCTGGGAAGTAAGGTCCCAATAGGTCGGTCAGGAGAACACTCCAAAGCTTGAACTCCTTAATGTTAATTTTATTTTTTCAATATTTTACTATATCTTCAGAAATAAGATAAGGTCACATGATCCGGGTTGACAAGTTTTTGATAACTGACCCCTTTATCTTGTTTTAACCATCATGCCAAAAAATCCCTTTTGACAATTGACTTAATCCCAAAATTTTGTGTAGAAAATCAATATCTTCCAAAAATGTGAAATAATTAAGAAACAAAATTGCAATTAATCCAATATGTTGTCCTTAAAATATAGTCTGCTGTAGTTAACTAGAATATTTAAGGTAAAGTTTTTAAACCATTCAGATTGAGTCTAGATTTGAAAATCCGATCATTATATAGAAAATAATTTAGCATGCTTTTTTTTAAAATCATTATATGTAAATAAGTATTAGCAACAAATATTGAGAATCAGAAAGAGTTTCACAAGTTGAGATCAGATAATTATTGATGACCACCATAGTTTTATATGAATTATCCCAAGAAACTAAAGCGGTAAGATATAACCTGATTAAATACTTAATTTGCTTCAAGACTATATATAAAAAGGAAAAAACAGTCAACATGTTTCAAGCACTTCAAAAATAGGCGTCTATTTTCAAGACTTGCCAAACAGACGAGAATGAGAAGAAACAAAAGTGTTTTGACTTTTGTTTCCAAATCAATGTCCATGTTGACTGCCACTGAGAAAGGATACATATAAATAAATACATAAAAATATATATTATATATATATATACACACACATACATATTTTTTAAAAAAGAAAGAAATTAAGCTAAGAATTTTACTTATATCAATTCAACAATCCATTCCTCAGCACATTGAAAATTTTATATTATAAAAATCTGGAAATTACATTAAATGTTTGTTTTCTCTCACTGCTGATATACTTATTTAATAAATTCTGAAACATACATACATATTAAGCCCATATTAATTGTAAAATAACATAGATAATATTCTACTGAATTTTCAACATTCCGGGAGGGAGTGAAAAAACTCGCCGAAATAAAAGCTAAAAATCACTAATACAATAGTTAATACTTATATATATATATATACAATAGTTAATTTTTTTTAAAAATTAAATTAATATAGCATTGGTAAGTTGTTCACAACTATTTTTAAAAAATGTTCAAATTTTAGTTTCATACATGATTTTAAAATCCATAAGCCTATATTATACCAAAAACTATATATTTTTTAAGATTCAGTTAAAGCATTCATATTTAACGTCATTTGATTATACAAATTAGTATGCCGTTTGTTGTAGTATATATGTTTAGTATGTGATTCAATTTAACAGCATTAATAAAATTTAATTATGACATCTTAACAGTTTGTTATATAAGTATAAAATTAGGTTTAACTACAATCATCTACTTAAAATATTGAAGAATTTCAATAATTTATTACTTTTCCTTCTAGTCTTTACTGATCGCAAGATTATATATTAAATAGCTTAGAAATTAATACTATTAAACTAGATTGTAATTATGACAGGGTTCACACTCTTTTATCAAAACAAAATTTAAACTTTCTTGAAAATAAACTCACAGTGACAATTACTGAACTGTTTACTTTTAAGAACAGTTGGGAATTTCAACAAAAATGTTGCTGCTTTAAAACTTACTGTTACTTATCACACACTGAAATATGCACACTTAATTCTTCGTGTTTTTTAGAAATAGTTTCAATTATGAAATCTAGTTCAAAAATTTTGCTGTTACAAATTTTTTTCATGACTTTTCTTCTTTTCAACAAGCAATAGTGCTACCAGTAGAATTAAATTTCTCTAACTCTGTTGGTGTCAAAGGTCAATATGAATCTCCAAGTTAAGTACCTTAGAACTGTACAAAAAGGCAGGCGCAATATCCTGCTCACCCCTCCCCCACATTCTTGGGGCATCATTTGAGGTCATTAGGAAGAAAACATTAATAAGGGGACTAGAGCCAAGTGCATGCCTTTTCCTTACCTATTGCCCTATTCATACATCCCTTCTTGTCTCTCAAAATGACCTTTCAAATTGACTCTTCTTGTCTCAAACCTTTGATGTAGTTTTTTTCCTCCCATAACATAGATAAATGTATAACGTCACAAGCATTATAAGCTTTTTACTTTGTTAAAAGTATTTCTCCCCATAACCATTATGAAACGCATTTAGTGTGTTTTAAGAAGTACTAAATCAGGGTGCATAGCCAAGTCTTTCAACAAAAAATAAGCACCTTTTAAGTACTTTTTAAGCACTCAAAACATATTTTTAAGCACTATATACAATAACAAAAAGCAAAATAATTTTTAAAGACTTTGCACGATCATGATAAAATAACTAGTTTCTGACAAAGAACTAGTTTCTTGATTACATTAGCCATTATAAAATGATCGAGAATTTTCGGTTCGATATTAGAAGGTGGAAAATGGAGCCTGAAATTGACAATATCTTGTAAAATGCAGCAGAGTTGCACATGAGAGTGCAATAATCTTACCGAAGCCAGCTAAGTAGATGCACATGCGGACTTAAAAGTTTTTATCAAACATGTAGAAAGTAGAATGATTGGCATTTTCATACGCTATGGACCAACAGTAGGCAGAAATAGATTGTGGTTGAATGAATCGTGAAAACGCTGAATAGAACAATGTGAAAAGCAGGCTTGTGCATAATACGTGGCGAAAATGGACATGGTAAAGAAAAAAAATCTAATATTCGAAAAGGGAAAATTAAGCACTTTTTAAAAACACCTAATGAAAAAAGCAACTGCAAGAGCTTTCAAAAAATAAAATTTAAAAATTAAGCACCTTTAAGCACTTCTTAAAAGCGCTATGCACCATGTAAATATATACATATACGACACATTATTTAACCAGTTTAATTTAGTTCAAAATGCATGAAATTGAAAATAATTGAGATTCTACAAACTTACATCTAGTTCTACTTTTGCTTCAGGAAATCTCTCACGATCAAATGCATCAATTAAGAAAACAATTGCATCCACAGCAGGAAAATAATCTTTCCATACTCTTCTCGCTGAAAGCAGAACATAAAGAAATAATTAAAAATCTTATTAAATTTGTTTGCATACCTTTTTGAAAATCTCATATTGTAATAAAATAAATAGTAAATATGCATCACTTGCTCAAATGCACCTCAAAAGCAAACATTACATATGAAAAACATATGAAAAAAATGCTCTATTCTAAAAACAATTTAGGTATATGTATTATACAAAATTGGATACTTAGTCATTGAAATTATTATAAAATATTTTTGTTACTTCTGTACTAAATTTGCTACACAAAAATAAAGCTTTCATTTTCTCTTAAAATACTTTTGTTTTGTACAACTGCTGAATTGTGAAATTTAAAAAAAAAAATGTAGTTAGTATTCATTACAGTTTTCATTAACAATTTTCACATTATGGGATATTTCCAACTTCTTATAAATCATAGGATAATTTTTGTATCTTTAATGTAACAGCACATTTACTGTTGATTTTACTTATTTATTTTGGTCTTACAATTAATATATTTTCTTTGAAAACTGCACCCTTTTATAAAACTCACAACAGGAAAAAACAAACAAAATAAGATCGGCAAAATTTAGAATCTTAGAACTTATATTTACCCAATGGAAGTAAATCAAACAAAATTTTTCATTATGAATAGGTAGAAAATCTAAACTTATGTGTATACAAAATCTTAATTTTGATAAGCTTATCATACTATAAATAAATGAGTAAATCAAAATTAAACCAAAGCTTTCAATAAACTATTAGTAAGTGCAAATCTTTATTCCTGACACGTGAAACATGCAAAGAATCAAAAATTTTCTATAAACATTCAAAGTGTCCAATTTACAATTATGTCATGAAAAATTGAAAGCTATTACATTCATTGAACTCTAATTTTATGCTGGAATTTAAAATATCTTAAAACACAGAACAAATATATAAAAAGTTAGAATAGTATACAGCTACATTGAACAGGTTTCCAAGCAGTATAAAAAAGTACAAATATATAAACAATTACAAGTGTCTTGAATAATTTTGTTAAAAAAATTATCATTTAAGTTCACTTTAGTATATTAGAATTTAATTCTATCACTGATGTATAAAGAACAATAAATATATCTAATAACACAATACAGATATTAAAAACTTATAAAATTAACTTAACTAATTAATTTATTTCTTAAAAAAAAAATTGAGGTTTATCTCTTTAAATTGCACGAGCTTCCCCTGCATAATACTACAACATAACATGCTAGAAAAAAAATTTCAGTTGATTTCGTATCTAATTCCATACAAAACTCCAAGTTTTTCTTTATGAAAATCATAACTTTATCAGAATCATATTGTGTTAACTTATGAAAAAAGAATTGTAAGATACTAAGAATAAAAAACAAGTAATCAATTGCAATAAAATGAATGTAAGCCAAATTATAAGTAAAATTAAAATTATAAATTGAAACATTCAAGTATTTAAAATATAAACAAAGTTGCAATACATAGGAAACTAAATACTTTATTAAATGAACAGTTTTATCCTTTATCAGGGGTGATTGTGAGCCCAAGTCAAAATTCCAGAAAAGTTCCAGAGTTTAAAAAAAAAAAAAACAGTTTAAATTGAAAAAATAGAAAAAAATGTAAACAAGGTTTTTTTTTCCTTTTTCTCAATATTTCTTAGTTTACTTAAAATATATTTAAAATCTTACACATGCCTGTACCATTTACACATACCTATGATGACCTGGAGAAGTAATCAAAATTTACAAATATGTCTTTCTTTTTTGAGTTTATGATTATAACAACTATTTACTGATAAAAAATGAATATTAATCATGAATATAAGCTTATAAAGTATCTCTCTGGCTTTCCCTTACAAGCAAATAAAATAAACTGTGTTTTTAAGTTCCACCTTTGAAAATTCGATTTCCGGAAACTTCTGTGATCAATAATTTTTTTAAGCATCTGAACCTTCGATCTCTGGAAACCTTTGGATCACTGTTAGCGAAAAATCCGGAATTTTTCCGGGGCACAATCAGCCCTGCCTTATGTTTTATAATCAAGACACAGAAGAAAAATTTTTAAAGCGAAACAAATTAATATATTTAAAATAGATTTCCTTCTAAAACTATTGTAATAAAAAAATAATAAATAAATAAAAATAAATAAACAAAAATTTCAGATCAAATAAATATTAGAACAAAACCACTAATGAATGAGCTTTCAGTTAAATTTCTACATTTACAATCATTAATATTTCATTCTCAATTATAAACAATACCTGTTAAAAATTAAACTTCCCTTTTAAAAATAGTAATTGCTGAGCAGAAGACTAATAAAAATAGAAAACCAAACTAAAAAGAAATTAAAATTGACTGTTAATTTTTTTATACACTAGACTTTATTTAAAAAAAAATTTAAATTATTCTAGTGCTATTCATAAATTTATAAATCAGGAAACCTGTCAACAAAGTTCTGNTGAAATTGCAGTATAATATGCACGTAATTCAGTAGAAAGATTATTTGTATGCAAATTTTAGAAATAAAACGTCGTAGGTGATGTAAATGTACGTAAACCTTGTGGGTCAGGGCACGCAGGTCAAAGCTGTGATAAAAGGATGAAGAGCACCGTTGTTAAAGACATTCGTTGCAAGTGCAAGTGATTTGTTTTGTGAAACATGTCTTCAAGAAAACATTTAGATGACTTTACTCGGGGAAGAATGATTGGGAAGCTTGAGGAGGGGCGTAGTGTGACTAGTGTCGCCGTAGAGTTCGGGATCAACAAAAGTGTTGTTTCTTGTGCTTGGAATGCCTTTAAAACTACTGTTCGGAAGGATGGTGGTGGCCGTCCAAGGAAAACAACACCAAGAGATGACCGTTACATTGTCCTCCAGGCGAAAAGAAACCGTTTTCAGTCAGCGAGCGCCAAATCTCAGCAACTGTGCACAGCCACAGGAGGACAAGTATCAAGATTTACAGTGGCCAGACACCTTCACAAAGGTGGCTTATTTGCTAGATGTCCTGAACGCTGCATACCTTTAAAAGTTAGCCATCGGCTGCACCGTTTAGAGTGGTACAGATAACACGATACCTGGACACCCCATCAATGGAGTCGCGTCCTCTTCACAGATGAGAGTCCTTTTAGTGCTACAAGCGATTCTCAACGTCAGTTGATCTAAAGACAGGTTGGAGCTCGATTTCATCCCAATAACATTGCGGAAAGAGATCGTTACGGTGGTCTTGGAGTTGTCGTCTGGGGTGGCATTATGTTGAACGGGCAGGCTGAGCTTCAGATCTTTGACCGAGGTTCTGTAACTGGAAACCGCTACTGCAATGAGGTAATCCTACCTCATGTGCGTCTGTTCCGAGGGGCCATTGGACCAGACTTCATTTTTATGGATGACAATGCCCGGCCACACCGTACTGCTAATGTTCAAGAGCTACTGGAAAGTGAAGATATCACACGAATGGATTGGCCAGCTTACTCTCCAGATCTAAATCCCATAGAGCATGTGTGGGATGCATTAGGGAGATGTCTTGCGACACGACAGTATCCTCCTGGTAACACCCATCAGGATAATCTCCTGGACCACTCCTGGATAATTTGGTGCTTAGCATGGAGAGACTATGCCAAGCAACAATTACAGTAAGGGGAGGGCATATCACATATAAGGGAACATCTGCCAGTTGTACTTACGCTTCTTCAGGCAATCAAGTGTAACGCCACTATATGTCAAATAAAGCCTTTTTTTGTTCCATACCCTACTGTAAGCTTTATATTCATTTCTGCGCCATTATTCTTTTACCATCGTTTAAGTACAAAATAATGTACATCATATTCAAATTTCATGTCAATCGGATGATTTCTTGTAGAGTTATGACAAAAAACGCACTTGTTGCTTAAGTTTTGCACACCAGTGTATTCGTAGTACATAAATAACAGTTTTCACGTACTTTAAAATAATTAATAAATGATAATTATTAAATAGTAAATTATAATCAATTATATAAATAATAATAATTATAAATAAAAGACAAATATTAAATTGAAAGGACTAAATAAATACAACTAATGTAAAACTTTATGAAGCATTTAAATACAGTAATTACCTAAATACAGTGAACAAAGTCTTCATCAGACTCAAAACTTGATAAGCTTTATGTATCACAATCATAATCATCATAATTATCAAACTTTCGCTTTTGAGCTATTTTACTTTACAAACACTAAAAAACGAGCTAAAATACGCATAAAAAGAACAAGGTTAAAAAAAATTCCCCCTTCATTAGGAAAAGAAATTAATGGAACCCGTACTGCCATCTGTAGGCAGTAAAACTAAGTAAATTTTCTGAGTAGGATTCGTTTGTAACAGAAACAATGCAGAATAATAATGGCGAACGAGCACAGCTCATCAGCGAGCATTGGGGGGAAAATTTCACTATGCAAGCAGAGCTCGTTTCTAACCATTTCGGCCAAAATCTTGCTGCCGAGTGGAACTCGTTTGCGAGCATTGTGAAGCACAATTCGATTGCGAGCCGAGCTCAATTATAATCATCAAAGGGTTAACTAGAAATATGTAATTTCTCTAAAACTGTTATAACATGCATTGAAAATAAAAAATACTCCTAAAAACTAGTATGTGTTTTCCCATTTCATGTGTTTCTAATAAAAATTTAGCAAAAAACATGTGACACATCCCCAGAACTAAATGAATTTTTTTTTCCTGCTTGACCATCAATTCCTGATCACCAAACTAGTCAAAAGCAATTTTAATGTTTTATTAAACAGCTGTAAATGAAAAAGGTTTCTCAATCTAAAACAAGATAACATATAATAGAAACATTTTTTTTTAATGTTTGTTTAATTAATTTTTATATTGGAGCAAAGAGCTGATTTCAAACTTGATGATGCAGCAAAATGATGAAAAGTGTAAAAAAAATCCATCGAAATTTAAATAGGTTGGTACTTTATTTGCATCACACTAGAGCTGCACAGTGGGCTATTGGTGACTGTCTAGGAAACATCCCTGAGGATGATCCACAGACCTGCCATCGCAATTTTGATCCTCTGCAGAGGGGATTCTGCTTTGGTAGGCCGATGACCTATGTGCAAAGTCTAGCACTTCACGGTAAAACAGTATAACTAGGACCGATACTGCACACGCTCAGTCAGGATGATGAAAGTGGTCACCCACCCGCTTACTTGACCACAGCCAGTGACTAGAGTTTGACGTTCTACTTGAAACAGTGTCTTTGCGATTAGTATACAATTTTTCATTTCATCATTATGAAGAATGTAATTTTACATGGCAAAATTCAAAATTTGAGCAAAATCGAATGAAGTGTTTCTGAGAAACTGAATTTTAAATACCTGACTTTTTTAAAATTTGATTTTTCAGGATATAAAGTACGTTTTTACGACTGATTTCGTGACTTAAAATACAATTTGCATTGTTTAGTTGGCATATTTGAAGTCACCTGCTTGAATCATTGAATCCTTGAACGTGAAGATCCGATCACTAGATCAAAAAATATGCAGGGTGGTCCGTTTTTTTATTTTTCTCCATACAGGGATGAGATTAGCCAAAAGGCAAAAAAGCTGAATTTCTACACTAGTAAATTTTACGCAAGTGCAACCCTTTAATAATAAATTCCAGACAGTTTAAGATAATAAATAATGTGTTGGCGTACAATTGTGTACTAATCTATTATTATATAAATGATTACATTGATACTTAACATTTAGTGAAAATAAAAATTACCAATTGAAAAAATAAAGCTGGAAATTATATTTTTCCTCAGTTCACATAAGAGACTTATTACTTGAAAAACTACCTGGTTTAGTAAATTAAAACTACTGAGTATATAGATAAATATTTAATTTCTTTTAATAAATACTGTTACGTGATTTATAGCAAATGTATCAGTAATATTACTTTTTAAATTATTTTGGGGAAAAAAAAAACTACAATGGGCAGAATCATTATGCTCATATTATAGTCTAATCTAACTGGAGCCCGGTGAAACATATCAATAACAGTGAAGTAGAAATATATAGTAACTCCTTAACATAAAAATTGATATTTTAGTTTGAAAAATTAAATGACAATCAGCAACTGTTTAGATAATTATTTTTCATTTGATACGAATTTTGCATTTTATAGCATAAATAACAGCAATTATAATTTAAAATTTTGATGATGAGTTAATTAACTCCTTTTCCAAAAAAAATAAAAATTAATCACTTTTTAAGTGATTGCTTTTGTTCGCTATATCTTTTATGTTTGCTATATTTCGTCGTTAGTCCATCTTCAAACATTTTGTGACAAATCTTACTTTTTCTTCCTTGCAAGCACAGAATGTTAGTTTTGAATATATTCCCTTCCAGTTTCTTAGATGTTGATACTAATAATCGTCGTTAGAAAAACAGTCACCTTTATAGTAACTAATTTTTAAAAAAAATTTTACTTCTTACAAGAATAGCGATAGTTGATCTTAAAATTGCGTGAAGATGAATAACAATTATGGATTTTGAAATCACATGAATATGAAACTAGATATACGATTTTGAAAATGAGAAAATACAAACTGGGATATAGAATTTTCAAAACGTGTAAATACAAATCACGATTCATAATTTTTAGATCGCGTAAATACGAATCATGATG